CTACTTTAAAATTATAAAATGACTTTTCTTCCAAAAATGGGGACCATTTTTATTATTTTACATTTTTTTCCAGTAGTGCTTGTATTTCTTCATTCTTTCAGTTATACCACAAATAGCTAAAAACATTAAAAGAGAAAGAGAAAGAGCGAGCCAGCCTGTGTCTTTTGTAATGAAACACCTCGTGCTGGCACCGTGGCATGTTTCAGCGCCGATCGGAAAGTTTGCTCAGCAGGGATTACTTCATTTGCTTGGTCATTTGTGTTGCCTCTTCTTCCTTCCTGATCTTTCCATTTACTACCAGTTTTTACTTTAGTCTTAGTTGGCATATTATCTCCTGCTAAATGTGCAAGGAAAAGCCTTGGTCGTCTTTTTCTGCTACATCTTTCTTATTCCCATAAAGCATCCTTTGAAGCAACTGGGTCACTTTATTTGATAATTGTGCAAATCCAATGGAAGTATTTGAATGACCGAAAGATAAAATTTAGATATGCAGAAAATTTAAATTCTGTAAGAGTGGCTTAACTTGAAAATTTAAGAATGTTTAAGTTCTCCTGAATAGTGTTTAATATGACTTGTCTCATGATAACTGGCAGCCAACCTGTAAACTAGATTCATGGGTTTTTCGCTTGGTCCAACGGCTTCCTCCACTTCTTTATGTTGTTAGTGTGGGATTTTCAGCATTTGCACAATGAATTACCAGTAACTACTGTTAAAGAGGCATTTATAAGGAAGAAGTTTGGCCTGGAAGTATTGTTCAAAAGCCGATTTGGAGTTGATTGGCAGTGCTGTAGATGAGCATTTCCAGCCCCATAAGCAGCTTATTGTATAGTCATGCAGAAATACTCCGGCAGAAGAGGAAGCCGATACTGGGACTGGCTCAAGTTGTTTTAAACAGGTCAACTCATTTTGAGATTGGTTCTTTTTCTTACTCAGAGAGGCTGTGATACATGTGATCCCACCTTAGAAACAGTTTTTTTATTATTGCAGCTTTCATTTTTCATTAGCAGGGACATTTATATGAAAGCAAGACCCTTGTTTCTTAAGAGTTCTGCTGCTTTTATTTTTTATTTGAATAAATCTCCTTAATTTTGAAAATCAGAGCCATCTTTGTAGCAACCAGTTATGATATAAGCAATGGAAAATTTTCACCAGAGAGAGTGCACAGAAGGCAGTGACTCTAATAGAAATAGTCTTGTTTATTCTCTTTTTAGAAATAAAGCATAAAAATTATAGCTAATTTGTTTTTTAGCACAATAATTTTTCCAAGTGAAGTGACAGTACAGTGATAAATTATACAGTATTACATTTTGCTGAAAACATAAAAGGTGCTGAGTTGCTGATTCCTGTAAGTTTAAAAGTTCTTTTAAAGAAAAGTCTAGAATGGTAGATAGGAGTGAGCACATGCCTTCTGGAGCCAAAGGTCAGATCCCTGCTCCCCTCACTTCCTGATTCTTAACTCTGCAGCTGCAGGCACATTCTTGACTACTCTTTGCATCATCTGTGAAATTGAGATGGTGTGGTACCTTCCTCATAGGATTATAGTGAAAAATAAAACAGGTATATATACGAAGTGCCTAGAATAATACCTGCCACAGAGTAACTGTGGATTGTACCATAAGGTGCTTCTACAACTCTTCTGTCATTTTTACAACCTGATTTAATCCCAGGCAAAATAAAGCTAAATTCAAGGTATTTATGCTAAATTTTCAAATTTAATTAATTGTCATCTTGGTTCAAAATGTGTAGTATTATGTTATTTGGGGATATATCTTTCCAATGTTTTGTAGCTCTAAATTCTAACAGTGACTTGTGTTAAATATAATACTCCTCCAGAGATACACTAGCACATTGTTCCTTTGTTGCACATGTTTATAAAGAAGCACAATTGGATATATATGCATATATATTCACACATGTATATATATATGTGTGTGTGTGTGTGTGTATATATATATATATATATATAATCCTTTTATCTCTTAAATTAGATGCTTTGCCTGAGATCATTTAACTAAGTAGATGCCAATCTAGTACCGAAAGCTCTAAGTATAGATTTCTAGTTTAATTAGCTTTCTAAATCTTTTCGGTAATTAATGAAAATTCATTAATACCACCCTACTTTTTGTTCCTGTCATTTTTTTTTTAATTCATAAAACATGACTTATAGTTCCTAATTACAAAGGCCTACACTGTGTGGGCGATTTGGGATTTTCAGTGTGTGCTCCGCTGTGTCTGTAATTCTGAGGGGGAGGTGGGTGTGTTCTCCTTGCTAATGCTTCAGTTTGTCCCCAGGCCATCCCAGGGAGACAGGCACACAGGCCAGGAGCCCAAGAGTGTTCAGATGTCTCCTCTTCTCATTGTTTGAATTGAAAATACATGTAGCTCCAACTTTTGACAAATGTAATACCTCTTCTGTTTTTAATCTTGGAGTCGGGGCCGAAATTACCTTGATAGCTGAATAGCCCTCGGCAGAGTTGTGTGTTTGGAGATGGGAGATAAGGCTCACTGTGGTTTTCATAAGGAGAAAAGGGCCAAAGTCTGCC